TTTTTGTTCCCTTTCCCTCCTGTTCCTGCCTGTTTTGGTTTTCCTCTGGTACCGGGAACCGAACCCACGACCTTGCGCTTGCCAGGCAGGCGCTTTGCCGCTGAGCTAAATCCCCAGCCCCTTCTATGTGCATTCTGATGAGATTGCTTAATAACCAAGTTCCTGTACTTTCAGGGAAGTATATTTCAGGCTCTCTCAAGTCCGCCTTGTGCTGCTGACCCTGCTCTGGGCCACATGAGCTTAAGTCTCCTCCCCAGCCCACTGATAAAGGACTCCTGTGAATTTAGAATCTAGGTCTTTAAGGTAACTTCACTTTTTCTTGACATAACACCATTTTATCTCTTCTTGGCTGCTCTAATGAAAAACGGTCCAAAAGCTCAGGAGAAAAAACACATTATCAGCAACAAAACAAGTCGTTGCTACTGCTGCTTGTAGGCAAAACATGAGGCACATCTGAGTTGCATCTAACCCCTTAGTGAACTCAGGCTCTGGGCCCACATCCTGTCTGCAGCTGACAAACATATGACTTTGTAGAATTGCTGCATAAAAAGTAAGTTAATTCCTGTATATCAGAAATTAAGTTAGAAGCTTACTGTTATGTTTGTAAGACCATGATTGTTGGTATTTCTAAAGGAAAATATTTATTTCAAAAGTTCTACTTTGGGCCAGAATATATAGGTAGGAGAGGAAATTTAAGTAGCTTGGTAGTGAAAAATATTTCAAGTATTTCAAATAATATTGCAAAAATAGCAGCGGACAGGCCCTGCCTCAGACTGCCATGGCTACCCTAAGCAGCAAGCACAGCAACAGCCAAAAAATATTTCAAATTTCAAATATTTCAAATTACCCAATATCTGAATTGGGTTTAGGCCTTTTTTAAAAAATTAAGTTTATTGGTATATTTTGTGTATACATAGTAATCACATTCATCATAGGGAATTTGTACCTGTACATGACATATCTTCATTCTTTTTTTTTCCCCATTCCCTTACCCTTCCTTCAGCCCCTCTCCCCCGTCCCGATTTACAAAAGCTTTGTCTTCCTTCTTTTCTTGTTTTTTTCTTTCTTTTCCTTTTCTCCCTTTCCCCCTTCCCCCTTCCTAGTTCCCCTTTCCCATTTGAACTTTTTTTTTTTCAGTTTAGGCCTTTTGGTAATTTTATTCAGTTGTTTATTCTACGAACTTCCAAATGAGTTACTTTGGCATTATGGAGAAAAGGGCCAAATGTGAATTTCAGTGTTCTAGGAATAATTCGTTTAGGTGTTTTGAGAGACTAGGTCTTAGGGAGGAACAATTCCCACATGCAGATTTTCATTATGAAGGGTCTTCCTGTAGGTACTAGTACCAAAGCAAGTAGATTAGAGCCTGGTGATACAGCCCTGTAATCGAGGTACTCTGGGAGCTGAGGAAGGAATATCACAAATTCGAGCCCAGCTCGGGCAACTTACCAAGCCTTGTCTCAAAATAAAAAATTTAAAAAGGGCTGAGGATGTAGCTCAGTGCAAATGTCCTGGGTTCACTCCTCCGTACCAAGGAAAAAATAACTATTTTAGCAGGTAATATGCTGTCCATTGGGCCACAAGCAAAATGAAACTGCAAAAGAAGGGTGGTTTTAATTGTAAGGTGATTTTCAGATGCTTTATTGTATTTTCTAATTCTAATATTGTAATTATTTAAATGGGAAAAACAAACTCAGCTCAGGCTTCAGCTGCTCCAGGAAGCCTTCTTAGATACCCTCCTCCCTTACAGGCTAGATTGAGCAATTAGCTGCACTTGTTATGTGCCCCTTTTCTCACTGTGACCACCAACTTTTGGTAATTTAGTTTTCTTTCTTATATATATGTGTGTGTGTGTGTGTGTGTGTGCGTGCACATTACTGGTGATTGAATCCAGAGCTCCACATGTGCTGGGCAAGTGCTTACCACTGAATGACATCCGGGTCCTGTAGGTCTGCTTCTGTTTGTCATTCTATGGCCTATGGGAGAACAGGAGTATGTCTTCTTTGTGCCCCCAGAACTTACCCCAGTACCTCTGAAAACTGAAAATAGTGGTGCTAGCCAGGTATGTTGGCACACGCCTGAACTCAGGATCACAGCGAGTTCAAGGCCAGCCTGGGCTACACAGTGAGGTTAAGGTGAACCTGAACTACGTAGTGAGACCCTAGCTCAAAAAAAGAGAAAAATGATGATGTTTCCTTTCAAAAACATCTTCATCCAGGGATTTGTTGCTAATGTGAAAGTTGTTAGAACCAAAATGGAGTCACTGTGTCAGTCGCTAACAAAAATAAAATGAAGCCTGGGAGATTATAAAGGAAGGAACCTCCTACTTGATAATAAGAACTGTTACCTTTAGAGCCGCAACCTTGCACAAAGGCTACCATAACCTTACACAGAAAATACTTCTCCAAGGACAGCTATCCAAAAATTGCCTGTACAACTTTGACTAAATCTGCCTCTACACTTTTTATTGATCCTGGTAAATGAGGGTTACTATTTCAAAATAACTTATGTAATTCTCCTCGTTTGGCCTTACCCTTGCCTCACCTTCCTTGAATATGCAGTTTACTGTGGTGTTCATATTCCCATTGCAATACTACTCGAATA